GTCTTTTTCAAAAAAAAAAAAATATCCTTTATTAGTTTAAAAATTCTGAAACTTATTTGACGAGAAAAAAAGCTTAGCACGAACTACGCAAATTGCACGAATTTTATCGGTCTCTATAACAAGTTACAAATATCAAGAAATAGTCAAAACTTAAAAGGAGAGTTTGTCTGTCATTTGCTTTTGTTAATTAATTTCCTTCGTTTCATGTGTCTCGGAACTTGTGATCCACACGTGCTATACTTCAAATTTCTTTTAACCATTTCAATAATTCACTCTTTTTTATCATCATATTAACTAAAATTAGGTACTGTTTGCAGATATTCAGGAGATTACATACAGTTTACACCGAAGAATAAATAAGTATTAGGACATAATTTGCTTATTTAAAAAAATTATTCAAGTATAACTAATGTAGTGTACATCTTTTTTTTTTTTTTTAAGATAATGTAGTGTACATCTTACGTCTTGTATTAATTAAAAAAATAAAAAGCTAGTATCATTCAAAAACTTAAAGATTGGTTCAAACATGGTTTCAACTTTTTGATTACATCATTTTCCATATTTTTTGTTCTTTCGTGAACATCCTATTCAACTACTATTTGAAAGTGTATTTTGTTTAAGTTTCTCATTTTCAATATTCACGTATCCATTTGTATTTTAGAAACAAATAAAAAGGTCTAATTAAATAAGTCTTTTAGCTACAATTGACTTTGTCCTTTTTTTGTTGTTACGTAAATATTAGCAAAATAACGTCACCAAATTATTCTGAATCTTTCTAGAAATATTCCAAAAAAGAAAAAAAAAAATCGAATCAACGAGAGACAAAGTCATTTCGCTCTCCATATAACGCACCAACTAAGCCTGAGCTGTTTATATTGTTTTGACGCCGTCTACGTCACACTTCCCAATGCAATTCTCGACACGTGTCATTTCTAACAGCCATATATCTACGTGGGTTTTTTAATCCTACGGTTGAGATTTATTTATGACCCTCGACAGATTTTATGTTGTCTAGTTTGACGTGTTCGCTTCGTGTTTTTCGGACGAGTTAAATTAAATAGAAAAAAATCGAAAAATAGAACAAAAAATATCCTTTTTTTTTTTGTTGACACCAACAAAAAAGATCTTTTTCGTTGGAATGTGAAAAGTGAAAACTTTTTATAATAAGAACATCCAAAAATAAAATAAAAAGATCAAATTTAACGCTAAATACATATTCAAAGACGCGGTCCAAATTCACTCCCAATAATCAATATAAAAAGCTTTTCCCATTAGGGTTTTATTTTAATTCTTTATCACCTCTCTCTCTCTCCCTCTGCTTCTAAAATCTCAAAGGAGGGATTTTTTTCGACCAAAAAAAAAAAAAAAGGAGGGACTTTTATGCCTGAAACTGATTCTTCTGTCGGGTTTTGATTGATCAAAATCTCACATTTCATCCGTTTTTGGTGATTTTTTTAGAGGATGCCAGTAACGGAATACCAGAGATCATTCGGGAGATCGTTACTGAATCTACGCCGTGACTCGGTTGACTCAGCGACGGTTTCCGGCGGCGAGTTGACTCAGATGGAGTCGGATTTGGATTTGTTTCAGAGAAAAGTCGCAGAGAGGTTTATCGATCTCAACGCTTCAAGTTCCGAAGATCTACTTTCTCTCGAATGGGTCGTGAAGCTTCTCGATTCGTTTCTACTTTGTCAAGAAGAGTTTCGAACCATCGTCTTCAATCATCGGAATCTCATCAATAAACCACCGATGGATCGATTAATCGCAGATTACTTCGAGAGAAGTGTGAAAGCCCTCGATGTCTGTAACGCGATTCGTGATGGTGTTGAACAGATCCGTCAATGGCAGAAACTAATCGAGATCGTGATCTGTGCTTTTAACGGTTCCGGTGGTCGGAGACCTCTCGGAGAAGGTCAGTTCCGTCGTGCAAAGAAGACGTTGATTGAGTTAGCGATTGGTATGCTTGATGATAAAGAATCATCTTCAAGCTCTGTTTCGCATCGTAACCGTTCTTTTGGTCGGAACAACAAGGATCATCATCATCAGAGATCAATGGGGCATTTCAGGTCGCTTTCATGGAGTGTTTCGAGATCTTGGTCTGCTTCAAAGCAATTACAAGCTATAGGGAACAATTTATCTACACCTAGAGCTAGTGATGTTACTACAAGTCATGGTCTTGTTGTTCCTGTTTACACAATGACTTCGGTTTTGTTGTTTGTAATGTGGGCACTTGTTGCAGCGATTCCTTGTCAAGACAGAGGATTGCAAGTGCATTTCAATGTTCCTAGGAATTTCCAATGGGGTGGTTCTTTGATGTCTTTGCACGATAGGATCATTGAGGAATCTAAGAAGAGAGATAGGAAGAACAGTTGTGGTTTGTTGAAAGAGATTAATCAGATTGAGAAGAGTTCGAGACTGATGAGTGAATTGGCTGATTCTGTTCAGTTTCCTTTGTCTGAAGAGAAAGAGATTGAAGTTAAAGAGAGGGTTGAGGAATTGGCTAAGCTTCAAGATGCTTTGAAGAATGGTTTGGATCCATTTGAGAGGAAAGTGAGAGAAGTTTTTCATCGGATTGTTCGAAGTAGAACAGAAGGTCTTGATTCTGTTGGAAACATATGATGAATTTGGAGGAAAGTTTGGAAATTTGTTAATCAATTGTGAGGTTTGTTTGTTTGAATGTGAAGAACATGGAAGTATTKGGAGAAAGAAACTCCTTTTTTTTTTCCAATCTTTGTTACTTATGTATAATTTTGTTACCAAAGACTGTTACTTATGAACTTGGTTCCATTTGAAATCATGGGAACTTATTTATCTTTCCTCAATATAAAGTTTATTTTCTTCTTGCTAATTTGCTTAACTCGTCACTTTTAATTATATGTTCTACTTAAGTGTTAATAAAATAGTAACACAGATAACCAAAGACATTATAGATTAAAGAATCTGTATTATTGAACACTGGCATTGTAAAAAGTCCACAACTTTTAATTACAAATCATAGAAAGATCTTGGGAGCTTGAAAGTTGAAATCTTTGAGCTACATTCTCCTTCGAGCTCGAAATTTGGATCTTCAAACTTGACTCTCTTCCTGCATGAAGGACAAGATCAATAAGAAATAGGAACTTGAGAAAGGAGTGCCTTCATATTTAGTAAAGAATAGCTGATTACATTGGGAATGCTTTTGGAGCCCAATCTAATGTTTAGGCTACAACAAAAACATAACCCTTCATATCTCCGTTCTTAGATGCAATCACAAGGCTTTATTTAAAACCAGAGAGCTCAAAACACAAAGAAAAATGCCTCAGAGGTAGTGACAATTGTGATTTAATTCATCACTATGGAATTCTGATGAAATACACATCAATAGATATACATCATAGGCACAATACAAAAACTCAACCAAAATTTGTAAAAACATAAAACATGTTTTGGGTGGAAGTGCATCAGAGAGATTCCCATTTAGACAATTACTCATCATTCTACTTCTCCAATTGGAGAATCTGATGTCCCTGTCTTTTATCATCACTTGCACAAACACAAAACCTCGAAAGCAAACATTATAGAACAAATCATTATATACAACCTTAAACTAAGGCAGAGGAAGAACAAAAAAAAGCCTCAGAGTTATTTTTGTTGTTCATAGAGACATAGCTCTCAAAGTATATTTAATACCATCACAGGCAATATCAAAACGAAAACAAACAAAAACACAGAGATAACCTCTACAAAAAGATTGAAACTTAAGAAACCCATCGATTCAATAAGAGAATTTACAGAGATAAACAAGAAACTAGGGTTTCAAGAAAAGTGGCTCTAATTTGTTATCAACGAAACACGATTGTATTATATAGAAAAGCAGAGGCGGCGAAAATTAGGTCA